ATTTTCGTATTGTTTTCAATATATGAGAAATATTCTATAACTTTCATACAATTTAGAAATGACTAGTTTTGAATCATCATCATCATCACATATTAAAGATAATTATAACTTCTATTCTGGTCATAATAGGAAAAATAAACGAAATAATTCTTTGAATTATATAGTCAAAGTGAAACGAACTTGCAAGCATATAAAATAGAAACTTACATTTCGAATACATTTTTCTCCTTCAATTAAGATATTACTACTATTTAGCGATTTTTTCATGTACTCATGACATGTTTTATAGTTTGTAATTTCAAAACTTAAGTTTTAAGTATAATATAGGAATGATAAAAATAGTGTATGAATCCTACTTCGATTGAAAGTAATAATTCTATTCCTTTTAATAAGTATCTCTGATAGATGAGTAATAAAATAAAAATAGAAATTGTATTCAAGAGTTCAACATAATTTATCTTTTTTTATATAAATTGCTATTAAAATACATTCAATTTGTTAACTTACTCTAAAATAAAAATTGTATAAAGAAAATAAGATGCAGTAGAAAATAAAGTTTATTCTTAATAGAACTTCAATCAATTATTCGATGTCCTCATTACCAAAAAAACAAAAATGAAACAAATTTAGATTCATTTAAACAGAATGATCCGACCTTTGAAACTTCAGGGGCTGAGGAGAGGTAAAAAAGTTTCCTGCGCGAGGTAGCGTATGTTTAAAATAAAGACAGATTTTGCAACTATCTGTTCTGGGTATTTCATTGCGACTAGAAGACAGCTCAATGAATATCAGCATATGGAAAAAACATTAAAACGATGATTGATGATTACCGAGATATAAGATAAAAGAAGTGAATGAGCAGAAGAGAGATGTACGCAGAAGTTCTCAGTTGATCAAGATTAAGAGAAGCATTCAAATTTATTTTTCGATTGTTATGCTGTTATTTTTTCGCTATTGGTAGTACCAGAAGATTTTGAATCCGGAAGTATCTTATACGATAAAAAGGTTCGTGGTTATCTCCTTTTTTTCCAAGAAAATATCTTCATAAGAATTTGAAAAAAATTCTCATCATTTTTAATATCAAAGGCCTTCATGCTAGTGACTATTCATTGAGATGATCCTTTGCGAAAACTACAATGAACTAAAGTTTTCTTGGATAAAGGCTTAAGTCTTTGAAAATTGCTTACAATTATGCAACTGGCACTACTTCTCAGTGTAGACTTTTTTGCAGGCTGATAAAAACTTTCCCTATCCGGTATCATTTTGTTCAAAAACTGAACTATCGTTAAATGGCATTTATGACGATTCCTTTAAATATTAGCCTACTCAAGGCCACCCTGCTCGTGGGTTTCATATGAAAAACGAAGCTCTTCAGAGGCGAACATCTCATAATAACGCATTCAAAGTAAAGATCAGAGAGTTCTTACGTCAACTATGATTGCACATTCGTTGTTTTTCCCGGAGCTAAAAAATTTCTAATTTTAATGTGCGTGATGTTAGAGAGAAACATAATTTATTTTTGAATTTTTTAAAAAAATTTCACATATTGTGAGTATTTATTTATTTTCTGCCCTTTCAACTAATAATAATAGTAGAAATTTCTCGTTATTGGGAGTGTGTTTTATTTTCCGAAACTTCCCTAGTCGAGCGATTCCTGATCTGAAACAACAGTAAAATTCTTGTTCAATATATAAAATAAATATTATTTTCAATCAAACTACAACGAATTTTAACGTTCTCATGTACCCATCATCGAAAATAAACGTCAGCGAAAACAAACGTCAGCGAAAACGTATATTCATTGAAAACAAAATCTCTCTCAGAAAAAAAAGAAAAAGATTTATTTTTCAACTAATCTTCAACTAAAGATTCAATGTCCTCATGTTCCCATCATTGAAAATAAATATCAGCGAAAATCTATAATCTTTGAAAAAAATCTCTCTCAGAAAAAAAAGAAAACCATTTATTTTTCTATTAAATTTCAACGAATGATTCAATGTCCCCATGTCCCCATCATTGAAAACAAATATCAGCGAAAATCTATAATCATTGAAAAAAATCTCTCTCAGAAAAAAAAGAAAGCCATTTATTTTTCTGTTAAATTTCAACGAATGAATCAATATCCCCATGTCCCCATCATTGAAAATAGATATCATTGAAATCAGTGAAAATTTATATTCATTGAAAACAAAATCACTCTCAGAAAAAAAAGAAAAGGATTTGTTTTTCAAGTAAACGTCAACTAACGATTCAATGTTCCCATTTTCTCAACATTAAAGAGCTATGGAAATGATTCATAATCTTTGTAGAAAAATAGACAACATACTTAGTATAATAACTATGTTTGTGATCGAATATGCTAACGATATTTCTTATTAGAAAGTTCCAATATTGCCATTCCAATCTCGACGAATTCCAAACTAATCTGCCACATATACAATAAATTATTCCTTTGATTTGAATTTATTCAATCGTTTCTTATATTTATCTCGAGAAAAGAAATCATATGAAAAGAAAAGTCCTGAAGAGAATAGAAAAGTCTGCTGGAAGAAAGAAACATCCTTTTGTTCATCATATGTATACAGCAAATTATTCCTTTGATTAAATCTATTTGAATGTTTTTATATTCACCTCGGTAAATAAAATCGTATGAAAAGAAAAGTCCTGAAGAAAATAGAAAAGTCTGCTGGAAGAAAGAAACATCCTTTTGTTCATCATATGTATACAACAAATTATTTCTTTGATTAAATCTATTTGAATGTTTTTATATTCACCTCGGTAAATAAAATCGTATGAAAAGAAAAGTCCTGAAGAAAATAGAAAAGTCCGCTAGAAGAAAGAAACATCCTCTTGTCCATCATATATATACAATAAATTATTCCTTTGATTTGAATTTATTCAATCGTTTCTTATATTTATCTCGAGAAAAAAAATCATATGAAAAGAAAAGTCCTGAAGAGAATAGAAAAGTCCGCTGGAAGAAAGAAACATCCGCTGGTGGAGTATTTATATTTTGCTCTTCCTATCACTACTGATATATGTCACATTTCATAAGGTACGTAAAGTCCCACATATTCACTAGCGGACTTTAAGTAAAGTGGACATTTTTTGGACCTTTGACATTGCTGGATAAAAAGGCTTAAATTTCGCATAATTTAGTGAATAAATTAGTCTTAAACGAGCTCTATGAAGGTTTTTTGTTGCATAAATAGATAATGTCATAGATGAATCAGACAGAACCAATTTTTCCTATTCTGCTTTTGAACTAGTTAAAAACAATTTTAAAATCTCAGTTTGAGTTCGTCAAAATTTTGTTTTCTTTATAAAAATAAAAATGATGAATAGTTTTTCAATCGTACAAATGTAGCCTTGTCTTTTTCTATAGATTTTCACTGATTAATGCAAGTGTTGATGATATAGATAAGGTTTTTTCTATCGATAGGAGAAATATTCTCATATATGTCTCTATGAAAATGTCAATGTTTTTCGATATATAATATCATATAAATAGATTTTTCAAGGTAAACTCATTTCAGTTAAATATCTTTCTAATGTATTTATTGTCTTTATCCAAAGTAAAAGTTACATTGTGAAGAAATAGATCTAACCTTTATTTATAATAGTAGGATTTGTTAGGGTATCGACATCGAAAGAGAGTCGAAAAAGAAATGTTTCGGATAGATGAGCTTTTTCAGGTTTTCACAGTTTAAAATAATATCTATTTTTTGTAAATCTTTTCTCCATTTCTGAGTATATGTATTAACGAATAGAGAAATGTTAAGTAGATATTCTAACATAAATGAAATGTTAGTGGGCACATGTTTCTGTGAAAACTTCTCACAACCGTTTATTATTTTTGTTCGAAGGAGATAAGCAATTATGAAGGTGACAAATATAGAAATTTGATGTAAATGAGAATGTTTCATTTGAAAAAAAGCAAAGTCAACAGTTTTTGAGAGCAAAAACTTTCTATAAAATGACTAAAGAGAGATTTAAAATCTATTTGAAATGTCTCTAAATGAGAATAGAAGAGTAGCGACTTCACAAAGGTACAACTCTTATCGATTTCATTAAATGATAAATAGTTATTGTTGAACTTGTCTTTAATGAAGTAATCTTTGTATTTTCATCGTTTTCTAATGCGGTATTGTTGATTCAACTCACATTTAATCAATAGATTTCTGTCAATATTATTTAAAAGAGAGAATTTTACTCGAAAAAAAACCAATATTTAGTCACACATCTCAAGTTGATTTTATTGGTTTTTTGTGATAAAAGGTTAATAATAGATATTGAATAGGTTTTCATTTTCTTCTAACTGATTCGATTTCTGTTCTCTATGAAGATTTTCTAGATAAACAATGATGGGAAGGTTTTTAACAGATTGAATATAGTAGTTTTCAATTCTGAGAAAATTTCATCGAAGTCTTTTTGTTTTTTGTTAATAATCTTATTCTTTGAATAGGAGAAATTTTTAAGGAACATCATCGTTCATCAGATTGTTTGCGAACCTTCTTTAAAAAGTTAAAAGCATAAAAAAGTAACTAAAAAAAGACTTTTTTTTTAGTTGATATGCGTCATTCTTTGATAAATCTCGCTTTTTTCGAATACTTTTAACTTTTTAGAAAAGATTCATAGAATATCTAATCATCGTTCATTTTGTTTACAAGTTTTTACTCATTGAGATAGTATTCTTACAAAAAACAAAAAAAACAAAAAAAGATTTGGACAAGAGTTTTGAGAGTTGAAAATTCCAATATTGAATTTGTCAAAAATCTTCATATAAAATGGATTTCATAGAAAATTCTCATGGTTATTAAAATGAGAACGTAGATTTGAGCTAGATGGTTAACATCATTGAAAAATAATCAAACATAGATTGTTGTTCATCGTTTCGAAGAGCATTAGATATATAAATGATATATTTCATCCTAGATGGTTACGATAAATCGATTGATAGAAAGAAAATACGTGCAATATATCTTGCTCGTCTTATTTCAATGACTGTTCAACTCAAATATCTTCTTGTTGAAAATTTCGAATGGCTTCTCGATGTTGTTCAATATGTAAGTATTTATTATATTTATCGTCTCATTTGAAATTATTCTAATATAGGCGACTTTTTTCTATATAGGTTCGTCCCAAACAATCCATTGGGAAGAAGTTTTTCGTTTATCTCTAATCTCTACTATTTTATATGACATAATCAATTTGTTTTTTTTTAAATCATAGATAAATATACCAAATTTTTATTTATATGAACAATCATTCAAAGATACAATTGAAAGAAATAATCTTTAACTGAAATAGAAAACTTTCACCTATTTTCTATTTGCATAAATACTCCTGGCTGATGTCTATATTAATTGATTGAATATTGACTTGATGCAATTTAATTCGTTTGTTTCGAAGACATATCGAAATAAAATTCTATGAAAAGACTCCTTACCAATTGGGTAATTTAAAGATCTACATCACTCAATAATCCAATGTAAATAAAAAAGAAATGTTGTGGAATCTTTTTCCCAAAATAGAAACAAAAAAAGTCAATTGTTCCTATTTGAACTAAACGTTTATTTCTCTGAATAGTACTTTTCAAGTTTGTTCCTAGAAGTAAAAACTGAATGTATTTGTCTATAATTTAAACGAATAAATAACTGATTATGTCAAATGAAATAGTGAAGAGAAATGAAAAACTTATCTAGATGGAATGTTTTCTGACACCTTATATTGATTTTCAATATAAATCTTTATGAAAATATTCATATTAAACGAAGAGACTATTCATTTTTCAACATTCTATTAGATGATTCTTTTAAAAGTTCGACAACTACATAGAGAAGTTCCATATGAATGATAGTCTTAGATTTAATATTCTTATAAACGTTTCTTAAATATATTAGTTTTCTATGTTGTAATTTAATATAATGCTATTGGAAAAAAAAACAGAATTCTATCGATAAACAAAATAGTTCGAAGTATTCTTAAAGAAATTTTTTTCAAATAAGAATTATTCTGAGTTCATTAGAAAAATCAATAACTGTCATCATTAAACTGAGAAATGATTCCTTTTTTCTTTTATAGATACGTACTTTTCAAAATCTTCTCAAGTTTTTGTTAAATACGCTCTAAAAGGAGTGTTGAAGTATATAGAGGTAGAAATTTCGATCTCAACCCTCTGACTCGCATAAACCGCGCCCGACAGCCCAACATACCATCACAGACCGTTACAGACATTTTTATTTATTAATTCGGTCTGGAGAGCGGTACACAGTGTGACAGACAGCTTTAAGCTACTCTCAGAGATCATCTATAACTCAAGTTTAATTAAAATATCTATTGAATATTTTAGGGCATTAGCAACTATAGGAATATCGTCTTTCACTTTTTAATCCCATTGGAATTGTGCGACACACCTTTTCATATAAAAAGGTTATTAATGCATCCTTTAACGAACTAAACTATAGAGTTGACATATCCTGCTCGATTTTATTATATTAATATAGAATATGTCTATAAACGATCTTTTAAATGATAGTTGTTTACTTGTGCACGAAATTCTCAAAGATAAACGTTCATCCGTTATTTGTTTCTGATTTCTTCATAGATATATCCTTTTTCTTGCTGACATTCTATCTTAGATTTCTCTTGATTATTATCCAGTAAATAATTATTTAATTCTTCTTTAGATTAGATTGAGCAGATATCGCCATTTTTTAAAACTCTCATTGACACTTTTCAATAAGTCCTTATGTATTTTGAGATAAATCTGTTCGAATATCTAAATAAATTCATACGTATCTGTAACTTTGGTGCACTGAAATACTGATATAGTTAATATATTCTGCAGAATAAATAAATTCTGGTATACTCGCATTGTTTAACCAGCAGATTATATTAAATTGAACTAAATTGTTCACAAGTTTTTCTGTATATCATATATATGAAAATAATCATTCTGGATGCAAACGATAGAGAATATAAAGCTCGAAAGATCTCTCTATAGTAGCTTATATTTTAATGTGTTATTTTGAAAAAAAAAATCGAAATTTAACATAGACAATAACTCATACTAGGACCTATGCTATGAACTTCAATTTGTGTTAATTATCTGTTTAATATGGTCGTCGATGAAAGTTTTCGTGTGATAATAGTATTTCACTCGATATAAAATGAAAGTGTGTAAACTATAGAATGGTAACCAGCTCAGATAGAGATCATTGAGGTTTAACAATCTTCAATTTAATATATGGTAAAATATTTCTGAGAATCTAAAACTTTTTATCTTCAAAAATAGAATTAAAATTTTGTTATGAATGAAATTTTAGAGATATAACATTGTAATGTATTCCGGTAGTTACTTTTTAAATTTCAGAACATTTTATTCATTTTTATGTCGTAGACCGATGACGAATAAACCAATTTCTATTTTACTCTGCTGCTCATTGATATTCTACGTAGTTTAATAGGAATTCAACTGAAATATTAATAGAAACAATAAAATTTTGTTCAATCCTATTAAAGACGTACTTAAAAACGTTTCGAGTATCAATATATATACTGTGTACTCCAGAAACGGACTAAGCGAAAGATAAAGTTCAATAATTATATTTCTTAGAAGAAAACAAAATAGATCAATCTCATCACTTTTTAATATATTCAATAAAAAGAAGATAACTAATTGACAAGCATATTTATTTAAACAATATAACAGAATATAATTTAAGATTTTGTCAAATACGATTTAAAAGGAGTGGTCTATTATAGAGATAGATATTTTAACTGATCCCTTCCCTACAAACATAACAGACATCATTAACGAAACATTACAGACATTCTATCGCAACTGAAATTTGTTCCGAGCTTATTCTACAAGACAATCTTATTTAAGATATTTGTCTGTTTCTTCTTTGAACACTCGTTAAATTATATATATATATAGCAATTGAAAAAACTTCTATATCTATATATGTTGTTGCGTCTCTTCATTTACAGTATAATAAACTTGATCATGTTTCATATATTAATCTCATAGAGATTGTCCTAACAACTTTTACCAGTAGTTCTGCTTTCAAGAAAATAAATAAAATAGATATAATAGATTTTGTTTTTATATAAATCATTATTAAATTGTTTTTTTCTTGTCATCTTAACATATGATATATTTCTTATAGTTTTCATTGATTGATTTTTTATTCCTTTATTTTATTTTTAGGCATCTGATCGATTTAAAAAAACCGTATTGAGTACTGTTCAATATGCTGAATTTGGTATTGCCAGTTGTCATCGTGGTTCAAATGAATCAATTTCTGTTGGCAAAAATCTTCTACCTTTTCTTATCACTTATATGCCTCATTTATATAGATTGCGTCTTTGGAGACCAGATGATTTTCCTTGGACATCTAGTAAGTTATTCTATTTCACATAAAACTCCAATTCCAATTGCTTATTGTAAAATTTTATGAGTAATACTCTTATTCTTACTTTATCTTAATGAAAACTTTAATAATTAACTTACTATTTCTTTAACCTTTTGAGCATATACATAGATAATAACTTCTATTACCTGAATTAACATAGGACACAAGAGTATTTACTTTTATTGATATAGCTCATTTCATAGATTGATCGAGTGATACCATTATTAGTATGTATATATCAAAAAGCAACAAGGAATTTTCGGTTTAGAACACTATGACAATCTATGAAATCTCTGAATCGAGAAGTTTTTAGACTCTTACGAGCTAAAAGAGATTTCCATAAAAGTTACAAAAAATCCCGAGACTTTATTACTTGATGAATAAATGATTACTGATAAAAGTCTAGTATTACAGATGATTGAACGTTAGATTTTATTAGATGTATTTGTTTATATGACATTTTTAAATTGACTATGAAACTATCTGCAACATTCATTTAGGTTCTTTATTCTAATCCAGAGTTGCGGATTCGATGTAGGATGCCAGCTCGTTCCCATGGCAAAAACTAAAAGACTGTTTGACATTCTGCCAAATTCATCGATACTTTCTGCAAAATTTTTCGAGTCTTGTGATGAATTTTGAAGCAAAACTAGTTTCTCAGTACTCTTCTCCTTTTTTTTCTGACCAAAAAGTCACATAGAAACACTTTCTATTACAAAAAACTTGCAGAAAATCTACAGATTCCATATTTTCTATTCAGTATCTCATAAAAAGCCGTATCGAGGCACTTTCTGACGAATTTTTAGCCTCTCCCAGTCTTAAAACCAATCGACAAGCCTCTTCTTCTAGTAAACCATAACTCGAGAATCGTACGTAGATTCAACAAGCCTGACAATCAGTGGTATTGTTGCTTAGCATAAATATTTTATGTTAAGTTTTCGTAGAAAAAGCAAAATTTCTGTCATCTTCGAGAAAATCTCGTCACCGAAAGGTTAATATAAAATAACGTTCAAGTCGCTTTGGTCTTATCATCTTTCTTAAAATTTTGTCCAGAATTTTCAAAATCTTTTTTTCTTAATATGTTCCGTAGAAGTTAAATATTAATCATCGAACTTTAAAATAAAATCGGAATCATTTTATTAATTGATATAATTATGTGTAATTAAACTATTTTAAAATACAATTTTCTCTATTGAAAATACATTTTATGAAAAAATATTTCTTATTTTATCATCATTAATTACGGATAGACAAAATCGAAATTTCTTAACGATATTTAGCAATAAAACGTCTACCAATTGCGAGAAATTTAATGTTTTTTGTCAAAGACGATCTAGAAGAGAGTGTTCGAATATATAGGGGTAGAAATTTGCTCCCTCTCCCAGACCGTGACAGAGAAAATCCGTACCCATCACAGACCGTGACAGGCATGCTCTTGTAACCATCACATGATGTAAGAAACGCGATCTGAAGACTGTCATGTACTGTGAGAGACAGCTTCAAGATACTATCAGAGGTCATCTATAACTCAAGTCTAGCTAAAATATCTATGCAGTATTTCCTCGTTGAATTTCTATGGACTAAAGTAAGGAAAACACTGAAGTATATCCCGATATAAATAAAAAAGACGAGCCTTTAGAGAATTAACGACAATAAGTATATCGTGTTTGATATTTTAATCCCAGAAGGATTGCGTAACACAGCTTTCTTTTTTATAAAATTCTAGTTATTATTTGTTCGTAACTATAACTAACAACGATTTTAACTTTAGAAATGAAGAAAAATAACCCTATTGACGCTTTTAAAATATGTTTAATTCTCTTTATTTTATTTTAAAAAACGATTAGACTTAGATTTGTTTTGTTTTTTTTGTGTAATAAAGTTCCGATTCAGTTTATTTATTTATTCATTTGTTTTAAAAAAGCGAAAATATTCATAAATGAAAAATGTTTAAGTAAGAAAAAGTAGAAATAGAAAGATGTGTCATGAGAATATTTGATTTATTTTAATAAGAAGAAAAGAAACAAACTTAAAATTGAAAATTTTCTCTATAATAAAAGGTTCACTTTATTTTTTTTGTTTAAGTTCGACCAGATTTCAAATCAAAATATCACTACACAGTTTTGCTTGCACAGTGGCTTGATTCTCTATTAACTCCTCAATCAATAGGTATGGAAATAAAAAAAAAACGTCCATAGGAAATAATGAAATAAAAAAGCATTTTTTTAATGTTTAGCTAAACATGTTACTATATTTCAACAAAATCTTTGTCAATTAGTTGAAGAGTTAAAAGAATTTTGTTTTCTTGATATTTATGGCAAAATTAATTGTGAAAAAGTCGAATCTTATCGTTCTATGGTTACAACGTCTTTTCCTAATAGTCAAATTTATATTGATATATCAAGATTCCGTCTTTGGATTTAGTTTTTTCTTTAATAGAGATCGAATTATTCTATATTAAAAACAAATTATTTTCTTGAATAATTTCTTTTGTTTGTTTATCTTTATTAAATATATAATAAACAGAAACTCATTTTCTTGAATATACCAGTTAAAAAAAATTGATCTTTTTTTAACAGATTAATATGCATTAATGCCAAATTAATTGTTGTACGTAAGTATTGAAAACGAATACCAGCATAGCCAAGCTTAGTATAATAATTATAATTTATATACATCCATGTAGTTACTGATTCAATGGCATTTGGATTTTCTACTTCTAATGAACAGGCATAAAATATTTTATTAAAAATTAACTATAAAAAGAAGCAAGTCGATTCAATTTAACGTACTTGAATAAGCATCTTCTTTTTCCACAGATAAGCCATTTGTTGTTGCTTTTATTATGCTAATATTATTAATTAATTCTTGACATAAATAAATAGCATCATATTTCAAAACTAATTTTTCATCGTTCATATTATTAATACTGTTAATAATGTGGATTAAGTTTGTTTTGTTGTACAATAAATAAAAAGCATCACGCATAGCATCAACGTTTTTAATTTCACCACCACTAACAACTATTACAAGATTTTTTATGGATTCTTTTAAATTAGGTTCTTCAGTTAAATCAAAAGAAATTTTCAATTCTTGTCTGATTGAATCTGCTAAATCAATTAATATATGACTAATTAGTGCAACAGATGATAATGATGATGATGATGGAAATTTTGGAGTCCACGATGAGTGTTTTAAATACGCGAATGGTGACTGATAAAATAAACCATCGATTAATACAACAAGGCAGGAAGATATATCATCTGTTGTAATAATACCTATACTAATACCAGCTTTTTCTTGTTCAACATGAACATAATCTACAAAATAAAGAAAAAAAGTTTCATTTTGTTATTTAAAAAAAAATAAATTCAACAATCGTTTAACTAAAGGTAGAGAAAGCTCGAGCTGTTATCTGTATTGAATATAAAAATAAAAAAATTCTGCATGTTTATTTATTTAAATATTAAATAATGACTTATATATTTTTCTTCAATAACTTCAGCTTGAAAATCTTAGAAGTTTTCTAATATCTTCTTGTTGTAATAATTCAAACTATTATATGTATTTTCGTAAAATATTTTCCTTAACTAAACCATTTTCTTTTATTGTTTATTCTTCAATAATATATTCGATTTAAAAATTTATCATTGTTGATTAATTTTTAGATGACTTATATTAAAATCAATGAATAAACAAATAGGCAAGAACAAGTATTGGTTTAAAAGTAAAACTAATATATGTTGTTTTCTTCAGTAAAAGTTTTATAACTTACTTTCATAAATAGATAATTGACACGTAGATGATATTCTATGAATTTCGTTTGATACTTCAACTGAATATATACCTTTATCCTCAATTAAAACTTTCTAAAACAAAAGTAATATTTGTTTTTTTGTAAAATTTATTTAAAAAATATTAGATACTCTAATAATCAGTTGAAAATGTTGATTATTTTCTGTTTGTTCGTAATCATAATTATTTTGTAATTGAATACCATTTTTAAACCATTTAACTTGAATAGGTGCAGATGTAGAACTTTGAATACTACATTCAAGTACAACAGGAGAATCTTCTAGATTTAGAAAAACAATGTCAAAAATAAATCATAATGAATGTATTTTATGACATACTAATAGCAGATTTATCATTTAATTGTGTCAAAAATTTAATTTTTAAATCTGTTTTTTCTTCGCTTGTTGTATCTTTTGATTCAGAAATTGTTTCTCCAGACATTTATGATCAATAATTTAAATAATTAATGATTTAAATCAAATGATAAGTCAATGTTTTATAACAAATAGTTTTAACAAAATCTAAAGAAAACTTTAAAAAAATATATATTGTTTATCTATTATTTATGAAAAATAATATTAGTAATGACGCAAAAATGTATTATAATTGACCGTTAATCTATATATACAAACATGCATTTTGTTTTCATTCTGTTCGATATCGAAGAAAAATAAGTATCACATGTTGCTTTCAACAGTATTTATTCAAGTAAACGAGAAGAATGATATTCG